TCCGCTATTTTTTGATCAATTATAAGATGCTATATTTAAAACCACATATTAGTGGATATTTAAATAATAATCAATTCCCTTTTCCCATAATTTTAGAGTTGATTGTAATTATTTTTTAATTTTTTTAATTTTTTTTTTTTTTAAATTTTAAAAACTATAATTTTTTTTTTTTTTTCTTTACAAATAAATAACTTTACATTTGTATACATATATTTTTTTGTCTCAATAACTTTCAAAAAAAAAAAAAAAATGGATAGTCTATATATTTTCATTTTTTTCTTTTTAATTATCATTTTTTGTTTCTATATTTTATATAAAAATAAAATTAATAAAAATAATAATAATAATAAAAATGATAATAATATTAATAATTTTAACTATATTAATAATAATAATAATAATTATAATAATAATAATAATTTTAATTATAATAATAATTTTAATAATAATAATAATTTTAATGATATTTATAATAATAACAATAACAATAACAATAATTATAATCATTTTAATTATAATGATAATAATAATAATAACTTAAATAATAATAATTTTAATAATTATAATAATTTTAATAATAATAATACTTTAAATAATTATAATAAATATTATAGAAATAATAAATTTAATGATAATAATTATTATAATGAAAATAATAATATAATTTATAATAACAATGATAATAATAATTTATAATTATAATGAAAATAATAATATCAATAATTTTAATAACAATATTATTAATAATAATAATAATAATAATAATTATAATAATAATCCAAAAAAGGTGTAAATTATTTGCCATCTCTTTTTTTTAAAGATACACCTTCAGAAACTCAAGAAAGAACTACCCCAAACATTAATCCTTCGAATATTGCCTCCAATGATAGTAATAATAATACTAATAATAACAATATTAATCATAATACTAGTAACCAATCATTAGAGTCAGATACATTAGTATTAGAAATTCTAAGAAGGGATAAAGAACAAACAGAAAGGGAGAAAGCAAATAAAGCTCTCAGAAAAGAAGTATTAGATTTTGAAAGAGAAATCAGAGAATCTGAACGTTCAGAAAGACAAATAAGAGAAAGACAAGAAAGAGAACGTTTAGAAATTTTAGAAAGAGAAAGAATAATAAGAGAGCAACAAGAATGGGAACGTACCCAATATTTATTAAGAATTGAAAGAGAGCATCAAGAAAGGGTACGTCAAGAAACATTAGAGAGAGAAAGAATGGAAAGAGAGAGAATTGAAAGGGAGAGAATAGAAAGAGAAAGAATAGAAAGGGAAAGAGTTGCAAGAGAGCAACAAGAAAGGGAACGTGCCCAAACTTTATTAAGAGAAAGGGTACGTAGGGAAGCATTAGAATTAGAAAGATCACAAAGAGTTGCAAGAGAGCAACAACAATTGTATTTGGAAGAAGCCCGTGAATATCATCGTTACCTTAATTCATTAAATGAAAGATTAGATGTATTACTTCAACAAAGGGCAAATAGAAAAAATTCAGAAAGAGAACAAAGAAACAGAGAACGTGCCCAAGAACCACAAACACAAGAAGAAATTCAAAGGGTACGTAGACAACAATTTGAAACTTTAAGATTGCAACAGGAAAGATTACAACAAATTAGATTGCAACAAGAAAGTCAACCACAACAAATGGAACAAGATGAAAACGAAAACATCTGCACAGTTTGCTATAATCAGGTAGAGGCCATTAATAGTGCATCAATTGATTGTGTACATAAATTTTGCTTTGCATGCATTACTCAATGGTATTCTCGTACTAGATCCTGTCCAACTTGCAGACGACCAATTTCAAATATTAGAGTAAGTTATTCATACATTCATATTTATAATTTATTAATAAAACATATATTAATTTAATTTATTATTTAATTGTAGAGAGATAATCAAAATGAGGGATTAACATATGATGCTATGAACATAGATTAATAATATAAATAACACTTTAAACAGAATGGATGTCCAATAACATTTCGATTACAATATTCCAATCCATGGGGAAAATATAGACTCTTTGGTTAATCGTCATCAATTAGCTGGCCACCAATTAGATGATTTTAACCTCGGTCAATAATACTCTATCCATATGGAATAATAACGAAATCAAACAATATTATATCAGAAAACAACATCATTGGACAAACATTACAATTCATTGCATTATCCTCAACTCTTCAAAAAAAGGTTAAAGAAGTTCCATAGGTTTCATGTACTAGTTCTCTTTTGGTAACTATTAAGTTAATATTTACATTAATAATATTAAATTTTAATATAAAAAAACTAATATTTAATTTTAATTCCAACATAGTTTTATTATAATCCTTTTTCTTCCATTATAACCATGTTCTATACTAAACATCAATATATATGCGCTTTCATTCCCTAAGGTAACTATAATGTTAATATTTAAATAATTATTATATTTGAATATAAAATTAACCAATATTTTATTCGTTTTTAGTTTAAATCTTTCTCATACACATCAAAATGATCAATATTTAATTCATTCTCATTCAATACGTTTTTAGGTTGAGTCTTTCTCTTTCATATCGAAAAGTTCAAAATTTAATTCTTTCTCAAATCAACACGTTGCCTTATTTATGTATTAGTATAATCAAAGTAAATATAATGATAAAATTTACATAATTATAAAATATAAAAGAAACTAATATTTATTTCATATTTAGATTAATTCTCTCTCTCTCTCTTTCAGTCACATATAGCTTAATTATAATATTTCTCTTTCAGTATAATCACGTTCTTTATTTAATGCCAACATTGGGGTATTTGTATTTATAAGGTAACTATAATGTTATTATTTGCATAATTATTGTTAAATTTGAATATAAAAGAAACTAATATTTAATTTTAATACATTTTTAGCTTAATTTTAATTCTTTCTTGTTCAGTTTCAACATTTTATTTATTTCAAATCATTAATTATACATTGGGGGTATAGTTTATTCTTTTCAATTGTGTTTTTTTTCAAATCATTCATATGAAACATTGGGGTTCTTTTTCAGTATGAACACATTTTAAAGTCACATTTCAAATATTGGGGTTCTGTTTATTTTATGTAAATATTACTATTTTATTATTTTTAAATAGATTTATATTAATCATTAAAAATCATCTTTTCACCTTTTATTTAAAATCACATTTATTATAATTTTTCAATAGTATAACCCAATTTTAATCTACACATTACTACATTTTTAATTTTTCGGTAAAATAAAAAATAATTAAAAAAACCCAAAAGTAATCAGTCTTCAGCCACTCTCAGTAATTAGTAGCCATGAAGCTCAAAAGTATGCTCAAAGTAGAGGTCCATCATTGTTTGGGTTTTCTAATATTCACTTAGTCAAAAAGAAACTATTATCTACGCTTTATTATATATAACTCTGTGAAAAAGGAAAAACAGATACATTATCAGACTTAGAGCCATAAACAGTTTTTATACTTTATTATAAAAAAATTCTTATTAAAACGGATAATACCGATGTTACAGAGTTACTTCTATATGTTCTGTAAATAAACATCTAAATATTAGATTCAAATTAAAAATTCAAAAAAAAAATTAATAAAGATAAATTTAATTATTTTTTTATTGGGTGTTTTAAATAAAAAAATAAAATTATAAATACATAAATATATAAAATTATTTAGAATTATTTTATTTAAAATATTATTTGTAATGTTTATTTTAAAAATTAGCTTAAATAAAACTGGTGTGAAAAATAACTGACGATTTAAATCCAAAAGAAAATAAAAATTTAAAACCTGAATGAAATAAAGAAATCATATGAAAATAAGTTGGTGATATTTTGGTGTTACCCAAAATGAAAATACTCGCTGCACCATTTGTAATTTATTCACCTACACTTTGTCAATCCAATTGAAGTTATTAAACCTGCTACTGATTGTCCACCCACCGATTGTATTTGCAGTTGTTAAAACTGCAACAGAATTTGCAATCGAAATTAAAACAAATGTATTTGAAGTTGTTAATCCACCAACTGATTGGCCTAGTGAATTTAATAATGTTAAACCTAAAGTATTTGCAGTTGTAAAACCACCTACACTTTGTCCAGTTACTATTGTATTTGCAGTTAATCCTGTTATTGATTGACCAGTTGCAATTGAATCAGCTGTTAATCCAGTTGTTGCTTGTTGTAATCCAAGCTATTGAGTTTGTAATAGTTAATCCGCCAATTGATTGACATGTGAATCTAATGATGTTAATCCAATTAAAGTTGTTACACCTGCTACTGTTTGACCAGCGAAAGTTGAAGTTTTTATTACCCTTATCTAAATCTAATTGTTTTCTTTTACTATTGAATGATAATTTACCAGATTGACTATAGTTGATTCTGCTTAACCAACGACGTTCAAACATTTTGGTTAATTTGCTTCTATGCTTCCATTCACCAGATACGACCACAAATGTATAAAGTGGTAAAAACTTCCAACTTCAATTACGTAGAGTACTGATTGCACCTGGTCTATAAGGAACATTGTTTTTTAAAACTACTGTCATTTAACGGATTCATATCGATTTGTATATTTGGTGCAGCACATGCACAGTCCCAGAAACTAAGAGCATTATATTGTTTAAGTAATTCGGTAATTGCAATTATCTTCTAAAATACCAGAAACATTTGAAGCGGCTGAAAATGAACCAATAATTAGCGTATATAATAATATTATTTGAATTTTAACATTGTAATTTTATAATAATCTTTAATAACTGAAATAGTTCCCTTTTTCCATGAATATCCACTAATATTTGGTTTTAAATATACCATCTTATAATTGATCAAAAAAATAGGGATATAATTTAAAACATATGTTAAAGCAGCTAAAAAACCTAAAGATTCCTTCTTAAACCTAAAAGCTTCCCAATATATAAAGAATATTTAAATGAATACGAAATTGAAAATTCTATAATAATAATAATATTTTGGTTTCTCTCTTCTGAACTATGCTGTTGTTGTTGTTGAGTATTAATAGTATCTAATGTTTTGAAATGAGTTATAAAAACAAAACAGATTTTTATGTTCTCGAAATATGGAGCTGCTTTGGTGATTGTTGAAAAAGTAATCTATTATTCCAGTTGATTGAATACTTTCTATATGATCATTTACATATTGTACATTAGAAATAATTTTATTTATATTTATGATTTTTTCTTTATAAAACAACCTCTATATAATAATTAAAATATTTATTCTTATGTAAATCGAATAATTATTAATTTAAATTCAGTTGTATACATCATAGAATCATAAAAAATAAATTAATAAATTTTTTTTTTTTTTTTAAAAATCATTTTTTAAAATGAAAAAGTTTTTTTAATGTTTTGGATATCATTTAAAAGAAAATTAAATAAAAAATCGAAATCAAATAAAAAAAATGATCAATGATCAGTATAAAAAAAAGATATAAGCTAAATTATTATTTTATAATTATTTTTTTTAATTTTTTCTTTTTATTATAAAAAAATTAGAATTTTAAAAACAGTTCTTTCTAGTTTATAAAAATTTTTTTTGTATTTATTTTTTGTATTTTAATTTTTTTAATTTTTAAATTTCATTATTTTTATTTTTTTTCTTTATTAATATATCTGCATACAAATAATTTACTATAAAAATCAATACAACATTTAATTTTAATATATTTATTTAACAATCATATAAAAATATAAAATGTTTTATATAAAAAGAGGACTACAATATTTTGTAAATATAATTACAACCATCAATAACAATATCAATAACAATAACAATAACAATAACGATGGTTCATTCGGTAACAATACCCACCCACAACAATCTACACCAGTCAACTATAATTTTGATGGTGATATTGATCAACAAACCCAACAACAACAACCACATCAACAATATACAACAAACCCAAACCCACACCCACAACACGCTCCAACAACCAACCACAATTCTGATGATGAAAAGGATCAAAAAAACCAACAACAACAACAACAACACCAAAATCAACATCAACAACAACAACAACAACAAAAGGTAATAGCTATGGACACAAAGGAAGAAATTGAAAGAAGAATAATGCTAAAGGTCCATGAGGCTTGGAATGAATTTAATGAATTAGCTGAAAAAAGAAACAAAACTGATTATAATGGTCCAACTCTTTTATTGACAAATTACAGCGAAAGTGAACAAATGAAAAAACTTAAAAGAGAAAAAGATGAAAAGAGACCAAAAGAAAATAGAAATAAAAGAAAAGAAAGGGATAAAAACAGAGATAGAAGAGATGAAAAAATTAAACACAAAAAAAAGAAAATCAAAATTTCACCAAATGATTCGATGATGGATGAAGAAAGAGAAAGAGATAAAAAACTATCACAAAATAAAACTTCACCACCCGCTCTTTCAATATATAGACCTGGAGATCCAATTGATACAGATGAAAAATTCTTGGCCACAGTAGAGAAAAATATGAAGCTCTTTGAATATCCCGAAAAAAACCAATCCAATGACGATGATATATACTACGTAGAAAAAATTCTTTCAATGCGTATACGTAGAGGTATAAAAGAATATTTAATCAAATGGGAGGGATATGATGTTAAAGAGGCAACCTGGGAGGCCGAAAGTGATTGTTTTTGTACAGATTTGATAGAAGAATATGAAGTAAGCCAAGGATCAAAAAAATAAAAAGAAAAAAGACAATTGAATATATTATAGAATACAGTTTCATAAATGTTATATAAAAAACTCAAACAAATTAATGGACTATTCACAACTTTGATTAACTTGTAAAGAAGATCCAATCAGCAAAATTCATATCAATTGCAAGTTCGTTTAAAAATTCAAAAACAACTTTTTCTGGTCAATCAGTAGCAGGTGTAGCTACTTTAATTGGATGTTAATTCACATGCCAATCAAATGGTGGATTAACTATTACAAATTCAATAGCTTGGATTACAACAAGCAAAACAACTGGATTAACAGCAAATGGTCAATCAATAACATAATTAACAACTGCAAATACTTTAGGTTTAACATTATTAAATTCACTAGGCCAATCAGTTGGTTGATTAACAACTTCAAATTCAATAGCTGACATAACAACAAGTAAAACAATTGGATTAACTACTGCAAGCTCAATTGAAACAGGTCAGTTAATAACTGGTTTAAAACTTCATATACAATTGGAAGTGGCGAATCAGTAGCAGGATTAACAACTTCAAATACATTTGGTTTAATTTACTATAAAAATCAATTCAACATTTAATTTTAATAATAAATTTATTTTATAATCATATTTAAATATAAAATGTTTTATATAAGAAGAGGACTACAGTATTTTGTAAATATAATTACAACCATCAATAACAATATCAATAACAATAACAATAACAATAACAATAACAATAACAATAACAATAACGATGGTTTATTCGGTAATAACACCTACCAACAATCTACACCAGTCCACTATAATTTTGATGGTGATATTGATCAACAAGCCCAACAACAACAACAATATACACCAGACCCAAACCCAAACCTAAACCCACTCCCACACCCACAACACGCTCCAACAACCAACCACAATTCTGATGATGAAAAGGATCAAAAAAACCAACAACAACAACAACAACACCAAAATCAACATCAACAACAACAACAACAAAAGGTAATAGCTATGGACACAAAAGAAGAAATTGAAAAAAGAGTAATGCTAAAGGTCCATGAGGCTTGGAATGAATTTAATGAAATAGCTGAAAAAAGAAACAAAACAGATTACAATGGTCCAACTCTTTTATTGACAAATTACAGCGAAAGTGAACAAATGAAAAAACTTAAAAGAGAAAAAGATGAAAAGAGACCAAAAGAAAATAGAAATAAAAGAAAAGAAAGGGATAGAAACAGAGAAAGAAGAGATGAAAAAATTAAACGTAAAAAAAAGAAAATTAAAATTTCACCAAATGATGATTCGATGATGGATGAAGAAAGAGAAAGAGATAAATCACAAAATAAAACTTCAGTATCACCACCCGCTCTTTCAATATATCGACCAGGAGATCCAATTGATACAGATGAAGACTTCTTGGCCATAGTAAAGAAAAATATGAAACTCTTTGAATATCCCGAAAAAAACCAATCCAATGACGATATATATTACGTAGAAAAAATTCTTTCCATGCGTATACGTGGTGGTATAAAAGAATATTTAATCAAATGGGAGGGATATGATGTTAAAGAGGCAACCTGGGAGGCCGAAAGTGATTGTTTTTGTACAGATTTAATAGAAGAATATGAAGCAAGCCAAGAATCAAAAAAATAAAAAAAAATAAGACAATTGAATATATTATAGAATAAATTATAGAATACAGTTTCATAAATGTTATATAAAGAACTCAAACCAATTAATGGACCATTCAAGTAAAAAACCACCACTTAGATTATCTTGTAAAAAAGATCCAATCATAATTAAACCAATAGTAAATAATTATAACTAAATTAATTATTTATGAATTTAATAAAATGGCCATTTATTAAATCAATATAAATAATAATTTAAAGTTTTAAAAATTATTTTAAATAAACAATATTTTATTTGATTATAATAAAGAAAAATAAAATATTTCTTAAATAAAATTATTTTTTTATTTATTTTTATATTTTTAATGTTATAGAATTTTAATTATAATATATAACTAATTTATTTATTTAATTTTGTTAAATGTTAATTATTGAAAAAAAATAAATTAATCTTTATTAATTTTTTTTTGAATTTTTAATTTGAATCTATTATTTTGATGTTCATCTACAGAACAAATAGAAGTAACTCTGTAACATAGGTATTATCTGTTTTAGTAAGAATTTTTTTATAATAAAGTATAAAAACTGTTTATGACTCTAAGTTTGATAATATATCTGTTCTTCCTGAGTTACATATAATAAAGCTTTGAAACTTGAATGATTTGTTGTTGTTTATTAGATTGATATAAAAACAAACTGTTGGGCAAGCCTCTACATGGTTTCTTTAGTACACATTCTAAGTCATTGAGGCACACTTGTCTAAATTTATTTGACTTTGCTAATTTAATTGCTATTTCTGATTGAATGTGTGAACAAATAGACTTCACCTAAAACATAAGAACTGACAATTATCAAAACTGTATACCAAATATTAATTGAATTATAGAGTATATCTAAAGATGAAAACAAGTTTGATTTTGAATTCGATTGTAATTGAGGTCAATTAAAAATATCTACAAAATTTGTCCATCAGCTTTTCATAATGAAAAAGAATTAAAATACTTGACACTTGAAGCATTGGGAATTGTCATCTTTAAAGATTGAATTTGAAAAAGTAGTCTGATACTTTATTTGATGGAATGCCTTCAATAATACCAAATGATATATTTATTGGTCCTAACCTACAAGATCTTTTGCACAACCCTTTCTACTTGATTTTGATTCGATATTTATACCAAATTATATTTTGAATTGCAATTGATTTCTAAAATCCCTTTTTAATGATGATCGCTTATTACCGAAAATATTAAGAGTTGTAATCTCGTATTCAGTTTTTAATGGAACCATACCAGAACAAAAATGGCTTTAAGTGGTAAAATTTAAAGAACCCAAAACTGATGCTTCTATTATGATTTGAGAAAGGCCAATTGAAGTCTATGAGATGATGTACTTGAGTTTTAGGGCGGAAATAATAGTTTATTGTTGGCTAAGTGAAAATTGGCAAACCCAAACAATGATGGACCTCTACTTTGAGCATACTTTTGAGCTTCATTGGCTACTGATTGCTTTTAGGTATTATAGTTTTTTTGATTATTAAATGATACTAAAAAATTAAAAATGTGGTAATGTGTAGTTTAAAATTGGGTTATACTACTGAAAAATCATATTAAATGTGATTATTTAATAAATAAAAGCTAAAAGGATGATTTTTAATGATTAATATTAATAAATTTAAAAATAAAAATAAAATAGTAAAGCTTACATATAATAATCAGAACCCCAATGTTTGAAATGTGACTTTAAAATGTGTTCATACTGAAAAAGAACCCCAATGTTTCATGAACGATTTAAAAAAAACACAATTGAAAAGAATAAGCCATACCCCCAATGTATGATAAATGATTTGAAATAAATAAAATGTTGAAACTTAACAAGAAAGATTTAAAATTAGCCATGCAACGGAATTTGCACCCGACATAAAACCAATCGATACACCAGTTGAAGTTAATCCACCAACACTTTGATTGTGTTTGAACTTGCAGTAGTTAATCCCGTTGTTTTTTGAAAATGACGACTTCAATTATGAAACTTGAACCTCTAACAGATACTTAATTCTTTTAGGGTCATATTTTAAAATTATATTATATTTAAATTGATAAACTAAAACCATGGAGATGTTTCACAAACTTGAACAATATTTAAGAAAGTTGAAGTTCATTACCCTTATCTTAACTATTTGGGTTCTATCACTATTGCTCGAGCCAAGGCAAATATTGCACTTTTTGAATTTTAAACGAACTTGAATTTTGCTGGTTTACCAGAGATTGAAAGAATTTGAGTTTCTGCGACATTGTGACTTTTTATGATTATTATTTCAGTACTGTTACATTATTAAAATTATTTATGTGTGTATGTTGTGCATTGAAAGAATTTATTCAATAATTTATTCAATTGTATTATTTATTTTTATTTTTTGATTCTTGGCTTTCTTCAAATTCTTCAATCAAATCTGTACAAAAACAATCACTTTCGGCCTCCCAGGTTGCCTCTTTAACATCATATCCCTCCCATTTGATAAGATATTCTTTAATACCTCCACGAATACGTTTTGAAAGAATCTTCTCTACGTAATATATATCATTGTCATTTGATTCTTTTTTTTCGGGAAATTCAAAGAGTTTCTTATTTTTCTCTACTAAAGCCAAGAATTTTTCATCTGTATCAATTGGATCTCCTGGTCTATATATGGAAAGGGCGGGTGGGGATACTGAAGTTTTATTTTGTGATAGTTTTTCACTTGACGATTTTGTTTTATAAATTAGTTCAAGTTGGTCCTTATCTGTTGGAGGAGGTGTGCTTGAAAGGTTAAAGTGGTGTTGTTGTTGTTGGTGTTGTTGATGTTGTGGTTGGTGTTGTGGTTGTTGATATTGTTGGTGTTGTTGGTGTTGTTGGTGTTGTTGGTATTGTTTTTTCTGTTGGACAACCTGATTAGCATAGTTTTCGTCTTCAATGACTTGGTAGTCGTCTGAATCCCAACTTGTTTCATCGTCGATGTTTATGAATAAACTTAAACAAAAACCGATGATACCAACAAATAATGATGAATACAATATAAATTCAAATGAAAAAATATCCATTTTTTTTTTTGCAAAAATCAACTATTATTAATAAAGAAAAAATACAAAAGATATAAAAAAAAAAACTATATACAAAACAAAAAATATAAATATATATAAATTATATACAAAAAATATATACAAAACAAAAATATAAATATATATAAATTATTTACAAAAAAAAAAAAAAAAGGAATATGTACAAGTGAAAAAAAAATAATGACTGTTATTAAATATAATTGATTGTAAAAAAATGAAGCTGATGGATTAAAAACTATATGTATGTGGTAAGAAACTATAATTTTTAATAAAAAAAAAAAAAAAATTTTAATAAGCTATTTTTTAAAATTGAAAAAAAATAAAAAATTTTTAAAACAATAAAAAAATAAAAAAAAATAAAATTAAATACTTTAACAATAAATAATATATATTAAAAAAATTAACTTTATTCAAAGGATTCATAAAATAAACAAATAAATAAAAAATAGTTTAAAAGACAAATATATAAATTTATTTCTTTACAAAAAAGTATTTGATAATTAATTAAAATGATTTTTTTACTAAATGTACAAGTAATGATTTTCTAGGATTTTATTAAAACTAATTTATGTTCATTTAATCTGAACTGAAATCGGTACTGGTAGAGTCATATAAGGACCAAATAACCCTGTATGTATTGGACCGCTATTAACTGTGACCTGCTACTGATTCATGTGGTCTTAATTTTATAAAAAGGTCTAAAAAACTTTTAAAAATCTTGTCAATAATACCTTTATTTTGCTATTTTCTTGGTTATTTTTAATTGCTTTACCAAAATGAACAAAAATTGAGACAGAAGCTTCGGTTTGTATAATATTTGCTTGTTCCGGATTTGAAATGGAATATGTATAGTTGCGTTAGTGGACAGTAACAATAGGCTACTCTTGATTTTTGACCCAAACTTCATAATAACTTTAATTTATATATATATTTAAATTACATTATTATATTATAATATTATTATTATAATATGAACATACATATTACTCATTACAATGATATATAAAAAAGGATATGTTAAAATTTTTATTTGAAAAAAATAAATAAAAAATTTTTTTTTAAAAAACCTCATTATTTTTTAATTAAAAAAATTTATTAACCTCCATTGTTTAATTTAACATAGATATTTCAAACACAACTAATAAAAATGGAAATAGTGATTCAATTAAAAAATTTAGTGATGTGTTTTAATTTTAATTATTTTATAATTTTTTTAATTTTTTTTTTTTAAATTTTAAAAACTATAATTTTTTTTTTTTTTCTTTTTTTTTTTTTTTCTTTACAAATAAATAACTTTACATTTGTATAGATGATTTTTTTGTCTCAATAGCTTTCAAAAAAAAAAAATAATGGATAATTTATATATTTTAATTTTTATCTTTTTAATTATAATTTTTTGTTTCTATATTTTATATAAAAATAAAATTAATAATAATAATAATAATAATAATAATAATAATAATAATAATAATAATAATAATAATAATAATAATAATAATAATAATAATAATAATAATTATAATAATAATAATATTATTTTTTATAATAATAATAATTTTAATAATGATAATAATAATAATATAATTATCACCTATATTATATTTTTATAATAATAATAATCATTATAATTATAATAATATTTTAATAATAATA